CTAGTTTGTCGGACTCTCTGCTTTCGGGCGGCGAGGAACTCAGATGAGGCGGAGTCTCGTCTGCGGAAAAGTAAACAACCACCCGATCCCGTGTATGCGGGTCTCCGAGGAATCTTCACCCGAGCGTACGTGCTCGGAAAGCCCCACGTTAAAAACCGGCTTTGTGTCACACCCCGATTTGGTGGGAGCTCGTGTAAATACCGAAATACAGAGATAATAATTAAGGGACTTAGATTGAAGATGACAGAAATATTCTTCAGTTAATAGTCAAAACTATAAAAATGTTTGTTTGTTTTCCTTTATTGATGTTCTTTTATCGGCCTCGAAGTTCGGCAAGCGATTCGCCATTTTTTTTTCTTTTTTTTTTTTTTTTTTTTGACTGCTAATTACCAAGCCAACCGAAATACTTATGTATGCCCGTCGACGAAAAACACTTGAAAGGCGATCAGGAGCAGGGTTGGAGGGTAAGCGGAAGCATATTTGCTGCTTGTCGAACTTACAGCTTAAACCCAGCTTACATGCGGTTAGATGAGCCAAGAACAACTATCGCGTGTCACTGGATCAAGATACGCGCCTAATCAGTGCATGTTTTTCTATCCTTCCCTTTCTTTGCATTAAGTACTTCCGACTAAAAGAATAACTAATGCACAGAAGAACACTGAAAAAACCCGTCAAATAAATAGCCACGTGAAAGGAAACTTATACTGAACTACATATATATATATATATAAGGAAAGAAAACTTAGAAATATGGCGATTTAAGCCGCAAATAATATCAATACAGGAAGAATACGAAACACAAATTGAAAGTTAATATTTTAAATTATTTTTAACACTTGTATTGCTGAAAGGAAACAATCTAAAAATTTTCTGTACACACACACACACACACACACACACACACACACACACACACACACATGTAGAAATCTCCACTTTTACCTGAAGACGGTCGCGAGACCAGAAACACGTGTCGTAGTAAAATTATGTAAAACAAAGCATAATATTTTTTCTAAATAAATCCACATTACAACCAAAAACGTTTGCGGCACCTCTCTTCTCTTCTTTTTAATACACATACTTTTCTCTCGTTGGAACCACTACAACATATTTCTTTTATATATATATATATATATAGGTAAGCAAATATATGGATATAGATCCGACAGTATGAAGAAAAATACAGAAAAAACAAACAAAAATTTTAACATGCAATTATGCTGTATTAATGTTAATATAAAGTCGACGTCGGACGTTTCGGTCTATTTAAGACCATCTTCATGGACATTTTCATTATAGTTCAATCGACTTTTTTAATATTTTAATATTTGGAAATCATCTTTCGAATACGTTTTCACAACATCGCCCACGTGACGACAATGTGATCATATTTAAACGGAACGCTGATCTTATATAAAAATTTCAGTTATCTGTTTGGATTAGTTGTGCTCTTATGTCCATTGTCTTTTATGTTAAATTTTTATATGTTCTAATGTTAATTATGTTTAAATGAAAATGTCCTGAAGATGGTCTTAAATAGACCGAAACGCTAAGAATGGTGAGACGTGGTAAAAATAAAATAAAACTGGACACGTATTTATTCCAAACTAGCAGTCTTCGACCGGGTCTTTCATTACTAGGAATTTTTACCTTTCAATTGAAGCAGTTTAAGTTTAAAGTCAGCCCACCTGAAAATCAATATTAGTGACAACAATTGGGTGCAACTGAGGCACATCCACAAATAGGAAGTGGGTAACAATTTGAATGGGGGAGTGGCCCTGAAACGGGCCGTTTTTGCATTCTCAATCTTGCAAGGAAGGAACCTCTTCCATGGACCGTCATAATAATAATATACGATCATTTTTATTTATAATATTATTTTTTTTATAATTCTAATAATCTTTTGTATCAGATTTCACTTCTCTAAATTGATTGTATGCTGTTTTTCAAAGACATTAAATCTTGTCTTTGATTTTTGCGTAAAGTGTAAAAAATCAGTTTTTTGATTTTTCACCTTCAAGGTTGTAATTTCGTCCAGCCAATTTGAACTCAAAACTGACACTGAAGAATTATCTATCAAACGAAAAAAATCTCATTGAAATTGGATGAGACTGTGGAAATGCATAAACAACATCCGATCATAAACACACACACACACACACACACACACTTACACACATACTTACATAGACACACACTTACATACACACACACATACACATTTTGAGAATTATAGATATAGATATCTGAACTCATAATGTTACCGCTGATGTTACTATTAGATATTGGTATATAAGACTACTAATGTTTTATTATGGTAAATAAATTTATAAACTGCTTAACTTGGATATCCGAACCCTTATATAATACCATCTATGTTTTCATTATTATTTTTATTACCATAATCTTGTGTGTATAAGACGTGGGTCTTTTCATCCAAAAAATGTTGCCTTTGATTTTTGCGCAAAGTGTAAAATATCGTTTTTTTTTTCGATTTTTCACCTTCAAGATTATAATTTTTTCCAGCCAATTTGGACTCAAAACCGGCACTGAAGAATTATCTATCAAACAAAAAAAAAATAATCTAAATCGGATGAAAACTATGGAAACGCATAAACAACATCCGACCCCACACACATATATGCATAGACAAGATTTAATGTCTGTAAAAAACAGCGTACAATCAATTTAGAGAGTTGAAACCCAACGCAAAAGATTATTAGAATTATAAAAAAAAAATATATTATAAATAAAAATTATCGTTCATACATATACACACACGTTTATAGATAAATTTCTAAATATCTAAGTCTGTTTCTTTTTTTTTTTTTGTTAACATTCATTTTATCACAGACAGCATCCTTTCCTGTGACCACTTGAGATTCTAGAACAGTTGTTGACTACTTGAAATTCTCAAGCTCTACTCCGCCCAACAATTAGTAATTCGATAAAAGCGTTTATGATCCACTTGATACTTATTAAGCTTGACACAAGAACAAAAAATAAGACTAGTAAGATTTTGTTGCGCCAGATACACAAAGGAAGATTATATTTAAAAACCAAGCATTCAAATTCCTTCCCTTCACCTGACCTCGAGCCGTTTCCAGAACATTCACCATAAACATCTTTGCCGTAGGAAAAAATCGCCTCAGGAATTTTCGCCGTAAGAATATTTCGCCGCATTTTTTTCGATACCCTTTTCTTGAACGTCCCTTTTGTAGTAATATTCAGTTTAATATGCGAATTTCCTTGTTATCAAGTATATATATATATATATATATATATATATATATATATATATATATATATTATTTTCCTTCGTCCCATCTCTCTCCTCCACCTCTTCTCTTTATTTTCCCCCTACCTCCTATCCTAACTTCTAATTGTCTATGGTGTGTGTATGTCACCACGAAATGTATCTTTATGCATTAGACATCCGTCGACTTTCTTTCTCTCCTCTTTTAATTCCCCCACACATCTCCTAAAATTCGCTCTGTTAAGGTTTCATCTCCCTCCTCCTCATACTTACACTTTCTCTAAATTCTGTTTTGATTTCCAGAGTTGTTTTTTCTGTTTTCATTTTGAATTTGTATGTCTGATGATTTGGATCGTATTTACGATTCCAATGGAATAAATTATGACTATGGAATATTAGTGTTTAAGCCTTTTTATTATATATATATATATATATATATATATATAGTAAGTGAAAAATATATAGAAAATAGGAAAGAACTCGTTAGGTAAATAATCCAAAGCTCTTATGTAGTGTGTTGGAATCATATTTTTAAATAAATAATTATATATATATATAGATAGATAGATACACCTAGTGAGCCAGACAAACCTACCTAGTTATCTATATTTAGATATATATATATATCAAGTATATGTCTTTTTTACATGGTTAAATAATCAGAAAAGAAATTAAAAAGTTGTAAGCGATCTGGGATTGCAAAGGAAATATTTGTCGCAGATTATTTCCACAACGCAGAGAATAAATCACTAAGTTCAGATTCGAACATCGGGGGCAGAAAGAAATGCCGAAAACTCGATTCGCAGGTATTATCTCACAAATCACAATGCACGCAACCAATCAGAAAAATAACTCACTCTCCGATAAACGCAGTAGCCTAAATGCCCGAATTGTTCCTCCTGATTCGAGAACACATAACTGCTTTTATCGGCCGAGCATTTTTTCCATTCGTCGACAACTGGGAGAGGACGCCCAATTTTTGCATATCAAAATACTTTTACTCCTGCGACGGACTTATTTTTAATTTACATATTCCGTCTTCAGCATGTCATGCGGAATACGTGCCCGTTTTTTTTTTTTTCCTTTTTTTTTTTTTTTTGTAAATAATTTTCTTTTTCGCCATGTTTTCTGTCGTAGGATACATGTGACCCGATGTTGCTTGGCTTGACGAGCTAACTCGCCGTTTTCTTCGCTATAAAAGTAAACATTTATTTAAAAATATATATCAAATTAACAAAGAATTAATTTAAAATGTGTGTAAATTTTTTTTTGTTGTTGTTTTTTTTTTGTTTTTTAGCGTTGGACTGTAATAAAGCATCAAAAGATGGTGTGTTGCTATAATGTATGTTCAAATATAAGAAAGTATATTTCAATATTTAGGTATTTATAGTGAATTTAAAACAGTTTATGTTTGCAAATAATTTGTGTAAATTTCAAGACTTACTGAGAGTTTGAAATAATTAAGAAAGAAGGCTTGAAGACTCTGATTCAATAAAAAATTAAATATTTTTAGAATTTAAAATTCTGGGATACGCTAAGAGGAAAGAAAGCCTGGAGAATTTAAGACTCACCGGACATAGTGGAGGCAAGAGAATTTTGATCTTGATACTCAACACTTTATTGCAAAAATACAACAAAAAATTAAACTTGTTCTTAAATAATCTCGTTTAGAGATGTTTACATTATCAACATGTCCAAAAATGTTTATGCCATCAATAACACGTTTAGATATGTTTATACTATC